TGTGCTTTCGCAACCCCTAAAAAAGCGAGCCAACATACGTACAATTTGGGGGAAGGGTCCCGTGGCACGTCCCTCCTGGGAGCCCACCTACCCTCTCCCCCCTCACCCACCCGTGATGGTGGCTCCAAAATGGTCTTCAAGAGAGCCTAGATAGCTACATGCGGCCTGCAAGACCGATCAGATGGCCTCCAAAGCGGCCAAGATGGCGCGGCTGGGCAAACAGCGCTCCCTCTTCTGGATAATCAATCGCCGCGGTCTGGCGTTCCGCCGTGGCGGGCCTTCGGGCCATGAATGCCGCTGGCGGCCGAACTGGCGGTCTTAAGGTTGAAAGGTCATGGATTCTTGTCGGGCATTCCACGCCAGAAATTCATGAGGAACGTGCGGCTTTCTGACGATCTCTGGGGAGATTTGCTGAGACTTTGTCGGGGGCGTCTTGGAGGGATCAGTGGTGCCCCCGAGAGGACCTCGTTTGGTGTCTTCTTGTGGGGCGTCTTGGAGCTTCTTGGGAGCGTCTTCGGGGAACGTCTGGGTTATCTATGATCCCGGGTGCCGGGCTGGCAAGCCCCCCCCCAGATGGGATGGGACCCAGGGTTCCACAAGCCCCCCCCCTCCCTCCCCCCCAGTGGGATGGGGGGGGACGACGACGACAGCGACGACGACGACGACGACGACGACAACGACAACGACGACGACCATCTTGCGAACATCGGATGTAACGGGCAACTGTGGCCTTCATGTGTTTTCCCCTCTCTCTCGGTACTCTCTATGCGCACCATATCGCCACGGCCGCCAAACGTGTTAACGCGCCCGCGGGCCAAAGCGTCTCGGAGTGAATTGAGGAGGTATCGAGGGGGAGCCGTTGTCGTCGTAGCTGCCCACCCCCCTCCCCAACTTGAAAAAAATGCGAGGAGTATTCGAGCCAGACTGCAGTTCCTGAGCTTCGAGGCTTCTCTGGCCAGGGCGTTTCGACGTAAATCGCGCAGAGTTGTCGGGCGAAACCTGTTGTCGTCGTAGCGGGGCGTCCACGAACTTGCGTGAATTGTGAGGATGTCTCGAGCCTGAGCGCCGCTCCTGAGCCTCGAGGCCTCTCTGGCCAGAGCGTCTCGGAATAAATCGCAAGGAAGTGTCGAGCGGGAGCCGCTGTCGCCGTCGCTGGAACTCTACGAACCTGCATGAATTGCGAGGAAGTCTCGAGCCAGAGCGCCGTTCCTGAGCTTAGAGGCCTCTCTGGCCAGAGCGTCTCGGAATAAATCGCAAGGAAGTGTCGAGCGGGAGCCGCTGTCGCGCGAATTGCAAGGAAGTCTCGAGCCAGAGCGCTGCTCCTGGGCTTCGAGGCCTACGACGACGGCGGCGACGACGACGACAGCGACAACGACGACGGCCATCTTGCGAACATCGGATGTAACAAGCAACTGTGGCCTTCATGTGTTTTCCCCTTTCCCTCGCACCCGCCCGCGAAGTCATTGGACGAACCCCCATTGGGGGGATTCGTTTGATACCAGCTCCTGGGAAAAGGATTCGGTGCTCTCTATGCGCACCACATCGCCACGGCCGCCAAATGTGCTAACGCGCCCGCGGGCCAAGGCGTCTCGGAGTAAATTGACGAGGTGTCGAGCGGGAGCCGTTGTCGTCGCAGCTGCCCACCCCCCTCCCCAACTTGAACGAATTGCGAGGAGGATTCGATCCAGACCGTAGTTCCTGAGCTTCGAAGCTTCTCTGGCCAAGGCCCCTCGAAAGGAACCGCACAGAATTGTCGGGCGAAAACGGCTGTCATCGTAGCGTGGCGTCCACGAACTTGCGTGAATTGTGCAGATGTCTCGAGCCTGACTGAGCGCAGTTGCTGAGCTTCGAGGCCTCTCTGGCCAGAGCGTCTCGGAATAAATCACAAGGAAGTGTCGAGCGGGAGCCGCTGTCACCGTCGCTGGAACTCTACGAACCTGCATGAATTGCGAGGAAGTCTCGAGCCAGAGCGCCGTTCCTGGGCCTCGAGGCCTTTCTGGCCAGGGCCCTTCGGTGTAAATTTCGAGGAAGTATCGAGCGGGAGCCGCTGTCGCCGTCGCTGGAACTCCACGAGCTTGCGTGAATTGCGAGGAAGTCTCGAGCCAGAGCGCCGTTTCTGGGCTTCGAGGCCTTCCTGGCCAGGGCGCGTCAGAGTAAATTTCGAGGAAAAATCGAGCGGGAGCCGTTGTCGTCGTAAACGGGCCCGCAAGGGCACAGATAGACAATCAAGCCCCAGCTCGAGCGGGAGCTTCGTTTTCACAGAAAATGCAGCCGGCGCCGAGGCGACAGCGCCCCGGCAACTTTCTGGAGATCAACAATAATTATTCTCTAGAAATGAGTATTTGAGTATTCGACGACGACGACGTCAGCGGCGGCGGCGGCGGCGGCGGCGACGGCGACGACGACGACGACGACGGCGGCGGCGACGGCGACGGCAGCGGCGACGAGGTCGAGCACCAGAGCTCTCCGAAAGCACATCAGCATGATGCCATCATCATCACAGCCAGACGCCACACCCACACCACACCCACAGGGGGGAAGGGGGGGAGGAGGACCATGGCGCCACCCCACACACACACCCACAGCAACACACACCACACCCACACCACATCCACAAGGGGTTGGGAGGGACCCGTCGGGGGGGCCGATGGGATACCCATTGGGGGGGGGCCAGACCCTGGACCATCTATGCCCACTCTGGGGGGCTTCTTGGGCTGTCTTTAACCAGTTTGGGTAGCTTCTTGGGCTGTCTCTCAGCGTAGGGTCGAATGAGCGCGGAGAACGCCAGACATCGTCAAACATGACAGAAAAAACACTGATGCTTCTTCCCTCCTCTCCCCGTTCCTCCCTCCTGTCCTGCCCTTGCAATCATAGCGATTGCAATCGAATCGATTACAGTGCAATCGATCGCAAACCAATCGATTGAGATCAAAGCGATTGCTGCAACTGCAGCCCAATCGATTGCAATCGATTGCAACGCATTTGATGGCAATCCATTGCAATGCGTTTCCCCCACACGGCACTCCTCCCTCCGCTCCCTCCCCCCCCGTTCGGACAAAAATGAGGGGAGGGGAGGGGTAGCTTGCGAAGCCCCCCCCTGCAAAAGGGAGCTCTGGCTGACCTCTGGCTTTGAACAAAAGGGTACGGGGGGATAGCCCCCCTTGAGTGAAGGGTCCCCCGGCTGGAAAAGGCAACACAATGGATGAAGGGGGAAGGGAAGCTTCGAAAGCCCCGCCTCCATTTTCGAAAATGGGGCTGGAAGCCGTGTATCCCCTTTTCATGTTCCCGGCCCTGCGGGCGCGCGCTTCTACAGTCCCTTGGCGTACCACTTGCACTACAGAATCCCATGAAGTCCCCCAAACAGTGCTTACGCTTAGAACATCGTGCTTGCCTCTACATTGAACTGGCCTGGTATGCTGGGTTCTGGCGGTTGCCGCCCTCAACCTTGCACATTTCTGTATTTGTTTTGTCTCAACGCGCGACAAACCGAATCATGACTCCTGACAGTAGGTGTCTGGGCAAATCCACAGGAACACCACTATATAACAAAATCGAGTAAGCATGATATGTGTCTAGTGGCATGCCGTGCATGAGCCGGCCACACCTAGCAAAACAAGGCCGCCATGGGGAGAGGAGCCACAGGAGGAGACAAAGCGAGGCTAGCGATATTACACCAGCTGGCGACTGCAAAAACCCAAGCCCTGTCACGTACTACATAGTGTTCAGCTACACACTGCGTGCACTGGGACTGCGGCGTGCTATAGCCAAGGGAATCGCCCAATGACTTGTTGCACACAACACCCACGAGCCCTCAAAAGTGATGAAGCCAGAGAAGTGCAATAACACTCTGCAATCCACACGCAAGGCCTTCAGAGTGTTGAAAGGGGAAGGAAGCGCCTGGGGGCATCAGTACATGGATCGTAAACTGCCGTTTGCAACCCTGCAGCCGATACGCACATATCGCTACCGTTTTCCGTGCGCCAGCATGTGTAAAGTCCCGCTTCGCGCACGCTCGGGTTCTGCGTGTTTTGAAGCCTAGCGAATGCCAGAGCGAAGAAATCCTCCTCATCCACTCATCCACCTCCTCTTCCCCCATACCTTGCGGACGAAGACGAGGTAGAAAGCACTACCCTCCCAAATTAAATTAATCGCTGAATTGCCGCCAGGCGTGAACTCGAACCCCGTCCTGCCGCGCGGACTTCAAGAAAATCAGGCACGAATGCAAAAGGAGACGGAGTCGGCGACCGATCCGAGGGACGACGCTCCCTAACTACATAGCCGCAGCGGTTGAAGCACTGGTGCGGGGAGAGCTAGCAGCGGGAAGCGAGAGGAATAGAGTCGGCTCACCGAGGACGGAAGTCGTGCCACCGTAAAACAAATTTTCGCTGATGAAGCAACACGCTTAAACCTTGGTGGTCGCTATGGGGCTTGCAGCCTCTGGTGCAAACCGTTCCAATCGAAACGGTCTCCTGGTGCAACGTGCCTATCGGGTGCAACGTATGCCAAACCAACTATTCGCTCAGCCGTTATATTCGTCCGGCTCATCAAATCTTTAAGCAGCCATGTTAGAGTCACGTACTGTGCGTCCATAAACGTACTCCTAGTTCCATCACCTTCCAATGAGATGCCGATTGAGTGCGTGTTGACATCATTGAAACCATCGGCAGCCTCGCCAATCACGCTGCTATATGCTAACCCAGCATGCCAAGCCCGGCCATGCTCGGAAACCAGCTGGTGAATGTCTCCAAAGCGGTCGATCAAGTAGTGCTGCATAACTCCAGTGGTATTCCAAATTTCAATGGCACTGTCTATTGAGCATACTGTGTGGGAAACCACCGCCAAACGCACGTTTTCAAGCTTCACTATGGTCTTAGTATGCTTGTCCTTTCGAATTCTCGAATTGGCGCGAGGGTCAATGTACCTGACGAACTTACGCAAAACACACTTGCCAGAACCATCAGGGATAAAGCCTTCATCGGTCCAGCCAGTTACTCTCAGCTCTACGCCTGCAGCGGTCGAGCTCTCCAGATATAGATCGCGCATGCTGTCCGCTGCGCTTCGTGTTAGGCACGCTGCGTTTGAAACAATTAAGTAGTCCTGTTGCTTCTCTGTTTCAAGCAGCCCCAGGAGTGCCTGAGAAGGGTCCGAGAGGATCCCAAATATGCCGACGACGACTCAAGAGGGTCCCCGAACGAGCGTAGATGGACCAGCAGACTGCCGCCAACATGCAGAGTCATTTCAACCACCAGAAAAAAGCGGATGGAGATGTCGTCTGGCCGCGTCCCCCGCGAAGCGGTGCGTATCAGAACTAGAATGTCGCCCACTGGTCTGGAGGGATTGGTAGCAATGAGTACCGATTAAATTTCCATACAATGCTTCAACAAAAGCAAGGGAAACAACCATTGCCAACGCAATACGAAGGAACGGTAATAAAGAACAATCCGCCAGCGCAAATTGCCATAGGCGGGATCGAACTGGCCAGCACTTGAGAGGGCGTCAGGCCGCTCGCCCACTCTTCCAAAACATCCCAGGGTGCTGGCTCGTTTTGAAGAGACGGTGCCACGCGTCTCCTGTCCTCTGCTCTCTCCTCCTCTTCCTCCTCCTCCTCCTCCTCTTTCCCCTTCTCCTCCTCCTCCTCCTCCTCCTCCTCCTCTTCCTCCTCCTCCTCCTCCTCCCCCTCCGCCTCCTCCTCCTCCTCCTCATCATCATCATCCTCCTCCTCCTCCTCCTCCTCCTCCTCCTCCTCTTCCTCCTCCTCCTTTTCCTCTTCCTCCTCCTCCCCCTCCTCCTCCTCATCCTCCTCCTCGACCTCCTTCTCCTCCTCCTCTTCTTATCCCATCGTGACCTCCACCGTACCTCCAGCTCCTCCTCCTCCTTCTCCTCCTCCTTCTCCTCCTCTTCCTTCTCCTCTTCCTCCTGTTCCTGTTCCTGCTCCTGCTCCTGCTCCTGCTTCTGGTCGTGGTCCTGGTCCTGATCCTGCTCCTGCTCCTGCTCCTCCTGTTCCTTTTCATTGTCCTTTTCCTTTTCCTGATACTTGTTCTTTTCGTGTTACGTCTCCTTTTCCTTTTCATGTTCCTTTTCCTGCTCATTTTCCTGTTATTGTTCCTGTTCCTTTTCCTTTTCCTCCTCCTCCTCCTCCTCCTCTTCTTCCTCCTCCTCCTCGTCCTCCTCCTCCTCCTCGTCCTCCTCCTCCTCCTCCTCCGCCTCCTCCTCCTCCTCCTCGTCCTCCTCCTCCTCCTCCTCCTCCTCCCTCCGTCCCATCGCATGCCCAACCCGGCACACCCATCACACGTTTCGTGGCCCCACAGGGCGCTCCACCGACGGCCCCCGTGGCCGCGTTCACATGCGGCTCTCGCCCACCGCATGCCCATGTCGGCACACCGCTCACAAGCTTCGCGACGCCTAGGGAGCTCCACCGAAGGCCCCTGTGGCCGCGTTCACATGCGGGCTCCCGCCCACCACATGCCAAATTCGCCACACCCTTCGTACGCTTCGTGGCCTCATTGGGAGCACCACCGAAGGCCCCAATGGCCGCGTTCACATGCGGCTCCCGAGCCACCGCATGCCCATGCCGGCGCAACCCTCACAAGCTTCGTGGCCCCACAGGGAGCTGCGTTCGCATGTTGGGCCCCGCCCACCGCATGCCCATAATTTCGGCACAAGCCTCACACGTTCCGTGGCCCCACAGGGCGCTCCACCGACGGCCCCCGTGGCCGCGTTCACATGCGGCTCCAGTCCACTGCGTGCCCATGTCGGCACGCCCCTCACACGTTTCGTGGCCTCATAGAGAGCTCCACCGAGGCCCAGTCGACTGGGCCTCGGTGAGTACGCGGCCCCCCGCCAACCGCATGCCCATGTCGGCACACCAATCACTCGTTCAGTGGTCATGCAGGGAACCCCACCAAAGGCTCCTGGACCGCCTGCGTGCGCCTGGGCCACCCGTTTCGGCACACATCTCACACGTTTCCTGGCCCTATTGGGAGTTCCACCGCCGCAAGCGGTACTCCCCATCTCATATAATGGGAGGGGGGGTCTTCTTTTAGGGGGAGGTCTACTTTTTGGGGGGGTCAATATCTGAGGCTGCGCAACCAATCAGATCCGCCCCCCCCCACCACCATGCCTGTCCACAAGCAACGCAAAGCACATTCTGGGGCAAAATCTTGGTCGTGTTCGTGAGCACAGCAAGCACTGTGTATTGGCTGTTGTCAGGGGCAGCGGGGGCCCCAACATATTGCCTGCTGCTCGCAGCGTCGCAATTCGTGCCAACAATAATACATAATACAACATCCACTTCGCGGTTAGGTCTGGATCGTGCGAGGCCAACCCGCGATCGCTGTCAAGTGGTGTTCGACAGGGGCGGCGGGGGTGCTGCCATGTGGCCTACTCTGCGCACGCCCACCAGACACCGTGTCGAGCACGTGGCGCATCTGGCGCCGCCAGGCGTGCCTGGCACGCTCGGGCCCCAGGGGTGCCTGGCGCGTGTGGCGGGCCTGGCACCCATGGAGCACCTCGCCCGAACGTCGGGTTGGGTTTAGTTTAGTTCCGAGTAGCAGCCCGAAGACGGCCGCTGAACATGGTGAGGCTCGCGTGTATGTGCTGGGAGCGTGAGTGGGAGTGAGCTAGAGGGTAAGTTACAGAGGAAGGTATCTTCACCCCTTCCTCGACCCCCTCTCCTGAGCCTGGACGGGATGTTTCGCGGGCAGCTGGAGCGCCCAAGATGGTCCAAGTGAAGAGACACAAACATTGACTTTTCTTTGTCCCCGCATCCATTGGCCGATCTCCTCCAAGACGGCTAGCTTCCCAAGAGGGCCCTGAGAGGCGCCAAGGAGCTCCCAACGAGGCACCCAAGAGGCCTCATGAGGCCCCCAGAAGGCTCCTCCGCATCCACGTCCTCCTACTCCTCCTCCTCCTCCTCCTCCTCCCCTCTCGGGGCACGACGGCTTCCCCAACCGTTCGTTCTTCCATTTACTTGCCAACTTCCGTGATCAAGCCAACTCGCCTGCGCATCGTTGCTGGACAGCCTGGTGGGGATACGTCAAACGTCAACATGTTTGTTCAACAGCGTCCGAGATTGCCAGATGCTGGTAGAAAATCAGCAACACATGCATCGTTCAGCGATTTTCGCAAGCCGCAGCAAAGGAGAGCCGCAAACGACATGTACGATTCAGGGCGCCAGCCTCCCCAACCCGATGGGTATGGGTCCAGCCCGCCCCCCCCTCCCCCGACGCCAGATGGGCCACCCCCCACCACCCGTGGATGGTGTGGTGTGGGTGTGGTGCATTGCTCTGGGTGTAGCGTGGTGCTGTGGTGCCTCTCTCCCCCTCCCGCTGTGGGTGTGGTGTGGGTGTGACGTGGTGCTCTAGGTGTAGCGTGGTGCTGTTGTACTTCTCCCCCCCTCCCGCTGTGGGTGTGGCTTTGCGGTGGGTGTACCGTGGAGCTGGCTGTGCTTTCTGAGAGCTCTGGAGCTTGACGCCGCCGCCGCCGTCGTCGTCGCCGTCGTCATCATCGTTGACGTCGTCGTCGTTGTCATCGCCGTCGAATTCGTCGTCGCCGTCGTCGTCGTCGTCGTCCTCGCCGTCGTGGTTTGTCGTCGTCGCCGTCGTCGCCGCCGCTCCCCTCCCCCCTCCCCCCCATCCCATCTGGGGGGGGTGGGGGCGTGGAAACCTGAGACCCATTCCATCCGGGGGGGGGGGGGGGCGTAGGAACCCGACACCCTGGATAATATATCTGTCCGCCCCTGGGCCGTGTCTGAAGCAACTTCTTGCCGAAAACCCAACCATAATGATTCAAACAAATTGAACATAGCACGTGCTTCCCCTCCTACGGCGGACGCGCGCGGGGGTAAGGTGGGGGAGAGTTGCCAACCATGTACGCCACCCGCCACCCGCCAACGCTTCTCAACGCGGAGCGCGGGGAGGGAACGCGTACCACCGAAACGACGACGCGATCCGCTCTCCCCGAACTGCCGCCAAGCACTCTCGTCTCATCAGCCTCAGATGTGCCTCCAGGGCCTGCGCAGGTCCGTCTGGAGGGCCTAAAACAGCCTACCCAAGATCTCAAAGAGGGCCATACGAGAGCCCAAAAGACGTCAGAGGGGTCCGGCAATCCAACAATCCCCGTATGGCAAAACATGTCCCCAGGGGAGTCCCCAAATTGCCTCCGATACTCTGTTGGAAAACTCCGGGGGGCCAAAGAGGCTGACAAAATTGCCGCAAAAGGCATGCGAATGACGCCAATTCCCATGAAACCGCTCGAAAAAGCTCACAACGATTCCCATCGATGTCTCTTGGGGCCTGGTCGGGATGAGCCGCAGGCAACCTGGATATGCTCGACATTCACCCTTTCTGTGGCTCGTTGAATTGGCTTGGCGTCGTTGCATTTGAATCATCGGAACGCTACCCGCATCATTGTTCGTCGACTTGAGTCTTCCCGAACAAGCTCCGACACGTTCCGCATCCTCAGGAGAAACCCCAAACTCGACACCTGGAATCTTCAATGCAGCTTCAAACGCAGATTGTTCACCACGCTGGTCAGTAAAATATGATTTGAAAAACTCGTGTGCAAAACGCGTAGCTACATCTGGAATCACCTTATCATCCCAATACACGACGCATGGCACTCCAGCTGCATTCAATTGCTCACCGAAATTGTTCCCACACTTCGTACCGCACCCGTTCACGAATACGAGTCGCAAGTTGCAACGGCCATCGCCAAAGCAACCTTTCGCAAAATCAACAAGTGATTTAATGTCGTCGTGTTTGAGCGGGCGGCCTTCATCCAAGAGCATTCCGAAATGATTCTCCATGTGCCCGAACAAATACCATACGACATCACCGTGCGATTCTCGCATGATTCGCTTCACCTGCTGTAGACAATTCGTCTTCTCAACCTTGACTGAATGATGAGAGCATACTTCAAGACATGAAGTCTGACCTCGAACCTCCTCCTCGCAGAGAATGACGCATGTCTGATGGCACCTAAGAAGAGCCAGAATAGCCTGCATAGGGCCCCAATACTGGCAGGCATTATCAACTTTCTGCGTTGTGAATATGCGACACAATGTCTCCCACAAAAATTGGGGCGGATCTGACAAGCGCCCACGCCCGACCCATGTGATAGCATTTTTGAAAGCGTCTATCAACTGTGTCTGTTCTTGATGATTTAATTCAGACGCTTGAACGGCATCTCGAACAACCTCGTACAGATCATCGGCGATGCGCTGTATTTCCTGTTCGAGCTGTGGTGCTGATCCATCTTGCTCTAAGAGCGCCAATCGGTTCTCGAAGAACTCGGGCGTGAAGCGGGCTGCAACTGCATTCGCCTGTGCTCGTTCACTTTCGCGTGCGAGACGCCTGTGCTCTGTTTGATTGATGTCTCGTTCCAATTCAGTCTCGGCTGGCTTCCAACGTTTCACAGCATCCATGACTGCGTCGACAACGCCATGGAGCTTGGACAACGTGAACCCCCTTGTATTCGATGAACTAAGAATTGAATCTGCAGACCGCGATCTGCGACGTGGTGTGGCGGGCCGTGGCGGATCCACAGGATCGATAAAAGTGAGCCTCTCCATGACTGAAGTGTTCAACAACGCCCTAACAGTGTCCTCCAAGGAGATCGCCAATTCCTTTGCTTGGTAAAGGAAACGAAGCCACCGTTGGCCGGCCGGCTTGAAACGAGCTCTCTGTAGAAAAGACACACAACAACGAACGTATCTGTCTTCTGGACCTGGCCCACTGAGATTCGCATTGCCCGGTGTGAACCTGGTGCCGTCGTCACGCGGGACTTCGTCTGCGCGCCCGAAAAAAATTATCCTGGCGAAAGACCCAACCATAAGCAATTGTTGGTAACGCGTTGTGGGTGCCGCTTTCGGTGGGGCTCCATATGGGGCCACGAAGCGCTGCCTTGGATAGGGGGAACCGCATGCGGACTGCGCCACCGGGGCGGGCCTTCGGTGGAGCTCCCTATGGGGCTACGAAACGCTGCCCTGGGTGGGGGAACCGCATGCGAACTGCGCCACTGGGGCCTTCGGTGGAGCTCCCTATGGTGCCACGAAACGCTGCCCTGGGTGGGGGAAGCGCATGCGAACTGCGCCACGGGGGCTTTCGGTGGAGCTCCCCATGGGGCCACGAAGCGCTGCCCTGGGTGGGGGAACCGCATGCGAGGGCAGCCACTGGGGCCTCCGGTGGAGCTCCCTATGGGGCCACGAAACGCTGCCCTGGGTGGGGGAACCGCATGCGAGAGCAGCCACTGGGGCCTTCGGTGGAGCTCCCTATGGGGCCACGAAGCGCTGCCCTGGGTGGGGGAACCGCATGCGAACACCCCCACTGGGGCCTTCGGTGGAGCTCCCTATGGGGCCACGAAACGCTGCCCTGGGTGGGGGAACCGCATGCGAACACCCCCACTGGGGCCTTCGGTGGAGCTCCCTATGGGGCCACGAAACGCTGCCCTGGGTGGGGGAACCGCATGCGAACACCCCCACTGGGGCCTTCGGTGGAGCTCCCTATGGGGCTACGAAACGCTGCCCTGGGTGGGGGAACCGCATGCGAACACCCCCACTGGGGCCTTCGGTGGAGCTCCCTATGGGGCCACGAAACGCTGCCCTGGGTGGGGGAACCGCATGCGAACACCCCCACTGGGGCCTTCGGTGGAGCTCCCTATGGGGCTACGAAACGCTGCCCTGGGTGGGGGAACCGCATGCGAACACCCCCACTGGGGCCTTCGGTGGAGCTCCCTATGGGGCCACGAAACGCTGCCCTGGGTGGGGAACCGCATGCGAACACCCCCACTGGGGCCTTCGGTGGAGCTCCCTATGGGGCCACGAAACGCTGCCCTGGGTGGGGGAACCGCATGCGAACACCCCCACTGGGGCCTTCGGTGGAGCTCCCTATGGGGCCACGAAACGCTGCCCTGGGTGGGGGAACCGCATGCGAACACCCCCACTGGGGCCTTCGGTGGAGCTCCCTATGGGGCCACGAAACGCTGCCCTGGGTGGGGGAACCGCATGTGACACCCCCACTGGGGCCTTCGGTGGAGCTCCCTATGGGGCTACGAAACGCTGCCCTGGGTGGGGGAACCGCATGTGGACACCCCCACTGGGGCCTTCGGTGGAGCTCCCTGGGCCATGGGGCTACGGCCTTCGCCCCTATGGGGCCACGCGCTGCCCTGGGTGGGGGAACCGCATGTGGACACCCCCACTGGGGCCTTCGGTGGAGCTCCCTATGGGGCCACGAAACGCTGCCCTGGGTGGGGAAACCGCATGTGGACACCCCCACTGGGGCCTTCGGTGGAGCTCCCTATGGGGCCACGAAACGCTGCCCTGGGTGGGGGAACCGCATGTGGACACCCCCACTGGGGCCTTCGGTGGAGCTCCCTATGGGGCCACGAAACGCTGCCCTGGGTGGGGGAACCGCATGTGAACACCCCCACTGGGGCCTTCGGTGGAGCTCCCTATGGGGCCACGAAACGCTGCCCTGGGTGGGGGAACCGCATGTGGACACCCCCACTGGGGCCTTCGGTGGAGCTCCCTCTGGGGCCACGAAACGCTGCCCTGGGTGGGGGAACCGCATGTGGACACCCCCACTGGGGCCTTCGGTGGAGCTCCCTATGGGGCCACGAAACGCTGCCCTGGGTGGGGGAACCGCATGTGGACACCCCCACTGGGGCCTTCGGTGGAGCTCCCTATGGGGCCACGAAACGCTGCCCTGGGTGGGGGAACCGCATGTGGACACCCCCACTGGGGCCTTCGGTGGAGCTCCCTATGGGGCCACGAAACGCTGCCCTGGGTGGGGGCAACCGGGGCCTTCGGTGGATGCGAACGCTGCCCTGGGTGGGGGAACCGCATGCTGGGGCCTTCGGTGGAGCTCCCTATGGGGCCACGAAACGCTGCCCTGGGTGGGGGAACCGCATGCGAACACCCCCACTGGGGCCTTCGGTGGAGCTCCCTATGGGGCTACGAAACGCTGCCCTGGGTGGGAACCGCATGGACACCCCCACTGGGGCCTTCGGTGGAGCTCCCTATGGGGCCACGAAACGCTGCCCTGGGTGGGGGAACCGCATGCGGACACCCCCACTGGGGCCTTCGGTGGAGCTCCCTATGGGGCCACGAAACGCTGCCCTGGGTGGGGGAACCGCATGTGGACACCCCCACTGGGGCCTTCGGTGGAGCTCCCTATGGGGCCACGAAACGCTGCCCTGGGTGGGGGAACCGCATGTGGACACCCCCACTGGGGCCTTCGGTGGAGCTCCCTATGGGGCCACGAAACGCTGCCCTGGGTGGGGGAACCGCATGTGGACACCCCCACTGGGGCCTTCGGTGGAGCTCCCTATGGGGCTACGAAACGCGTGAGAGGTGTGCCGAGAGCAGAGGCAAGGAGGGGGAGGAGGGAGGAGGGGGAAGAGGAGGAGAGGAGAGGACGCGGGCACTGTCTCTTCAAAACGAGGACCCAACACCACAGGATGGTTGGGAAAGAATCTGACGAGCATGCGGCCGAGAATTTCAAGACGACCTTTTGACTTCCAAAGGTGCGTGCCAACTCTGTCGCGGATTGCCATCTTGAATGTTTGACCAACATCGTGCATTGCAAGCGCAGCAGCAAGCAAATGCAACGCGCCCGGAAAATCCGAAATCACGTTTGCGATACAGTAGCCACTGTGCGTTTGCAGCCAGAGAGGTGCAAGCTACAGCAAAATCACACTTTTGAGCCGATTGGCGGCAGGCAAGGCACACAAGAGTGTGTTAGGCTCTCCCCGTGAAGGACCAGCCGCACTGCCGATATATTTCGAGGGTCCCACGAGGCCTCACGGTGCGATTTCTGAATTTGTCCTTGCACGCGCTAAAACAAAATTGCAGGATTTACTTTTCTTGGGTCGATCGCTTGCTCAGGCCGTTTACTGCTGGGTGGCCATTCAGTATTTTGCCTTGTGATGGGCGCGCTGATGGATTTCTGTCTGCCATGCTAAGCCTGGTGGATGGAATACTCAAAAGCTTTCAGATGTTGTTGCTATGACCTACTGGCTGAAACATGTTGTTACGGACGATCATCACTGAAACCTTCGGCGTGTGATCCCGAAGACATGGCATGACGACGTATGGTGCTATAGTGCCATCGGGTATTATGATATGTTGTTGCATGTGCCGCGCTCTGTGGTCGTATGCTGTATATTGTGTTTTTGTGTGATGTACCCTGCCATGTTGTGCTATAACATGCAATGTATGCTATGGTAGTGCATCGTCCGACATATTATGTTGTGATGTGAATCGTGGTATGCTATGCTCTGCGTGATCAAGTCTGCCATCGTTTATGGTGCTGTGCTGAGCTGCGTTCTGCTATGCTATAACGTGATATGCCGCGCCAGAAACATGCTATGACGTGCCATCGTGTGGTGTGATACGCATTGTGATGATGTGCTTCACCGTGGGTTGTTAAACCGTGGTCTGTTATGATGCGCAAAGGGACGTAATGCCGTTTTTAAGGTACAATACGGTATGGCATGTTAGGTATGCCCCTATCTGTTATACCATGCGTTGTTATGACGTCATGTCCCATGAAACGTTGTGGCATGCTGATCAAGTCGAACGCACGTTCTGTCATGTCATGCCAGGTCCTGTCGTGCTCTGCTTTTCTATGTCCTGTCCTGTCTTGTACGTTATCCTGATACTTTCTGCCACGACCAGCTGTTAGGTGATCAAATATCATGGCCTGCTCTGGCCGAATCGTTTATGTTATTGCTCTGTTCTGTGATGCTCTGTTCTGTCATATTATGTTCTGCTACGTTCTGTTCAAGCTCTGTTCTGTCACGGCTTGGTGCCATGATGCCTGGACAAGGTGACGCCGTGACGCACCATGTACAACTGTTTCGTATACTGTGATATGCTATGTTCCGTTGAGGTGCTGATGCTCTGCCATGCTCGGTCATGTACAGGTGTGATACGTTGTGTCGTGATGTCTTCTGTCGAACCCTACTATGATATGCTGTCATGCTCTGGTATGTTATGCTATGATCTGTCATGTTATAGTGACCGCGGTATGCAGAACGCGAGTCGGCGCGGAGGGCGGGATATACTCTGGGATCATCGGGGTAGCTGGGGATCTGGCGGCCGCGGTATGCAGTGGGCGAGTCGTCGCGGGAGAGCGCGATTATTTGGGATCATCGTGGCAGCTGGGGAACTGACGGCCGCGGTATACAGGGCGGGCGGGCCAAGAAGCCCTCTTGGCGGCCCAAGAGGCTCTCGTGGCGGCCCTCTTGGCGGCCTCAGAGGCTCTTTTGGCCGCCCCAGAAGCTCTCTTGGCGGCCCAAGAGGCTCTCTTGGCGGCCCCAGAGGGTCTCGTGAAGGCCCCAGTGGCTCTCTTGGCGGCACCAGAGGGTTTCTTGGCGGCCCCAGTGACTCTCTTGGCTGCCCCAATGGCTCTCTTGGCGGCCCCAGGGTCTCTTGGCGGCCCCAGAAGCTCTCGTGGCGGCCCCAGAAGCTCTCTTGGCGGCCCCAGAGGCTCTCTTGGCGGCACCAGAGGGTCTCTTGAAGGCCCCAGAGCGCCGCTTGGCGGCCCCAGAAGCTCTTTTGAAGGCACCAAAGGCTCTCTTGGCGGCCACAGAGGCTCCCTTGGCGGACCCAAAGGCTCTCTTGGCGGCCCCAGAGGCTCTCGTGGCGGCCCCAGAAACTCTCTTGGCGGCCCAAGAGGCTCTCTTGGCGGCCCCAGAAGCCCTCTCGTGCTGCCCCAGAGGCTCTCTTGGCGGCCCCAGAAGCTCCCTTGGCGGCCCCAGAAGCTCTCTCTTGGCGGACCTAGAAGCTGTCTTGGCTGTCCCAGAGGGTCTCGTAGCGGCCCCCGAACGGTT